AATCTCACTTATCTGATAACCAAATATTATTTCAACTTTGGTATACAATTATTGTAGATTTGACCAAAACGTAAGTACGGTATAGGAACTCATATCCAAGACGACAGCATACTATCCAAGATGTTAGCCATACTAACCATTGGTAACCAAACATATGTTTGCGAAACTTTGCATTTCACTACTAGATTAGATTAGACTAATTAGAGTGGTTAGTGTATAGCTCTTAACAATAAGATACACACATTTGAATATTTGTTATAAATTTTTACTTAATTGAATATAAATTAACACAAAATAAAGTAAACTAGACTTTCAATTGAATACATAGTATAGTAATATTCTTACATTTTTATTAATTAAGATTTTCATAAACATTTAAATGTCTTCGTCTTTAAACCTATAATGTATTCAATTGCGAGTCAAATATCATATCATTTAAAGTAAATTATAATTACATTTGAAAATAGTCTGTAAATAAGCGCTACTAATGAACGCAAAGGGTTTAGAAATTTGTCAAATTTTCGTTTACTTACAATGAAATTGCAATCAATTGATAGTATTATAGAAACAAAAGAGTAATATTACAGCACTTTAGAAGTGAAATGAAATACAAATATTGTTATGATTTACTAAATATTAAACCCATTATAGAGAAACTATTGAATCATTTGAACCAATCATTCAATAATAATATCTTTGAATTACTTTAATCTGAAAATTGATAATAAATCCGACAAACGATGCGAACAACGGGTGGACTCTGCGGAGGGTGTGTTTGGGTTCAGTGATGGGATGGGAGGGTGTGTCCATAGACGGACTCATCGCTGTAGGCGATGTAGAGGAAGAAGTCCTCCTCGTGATGGTCCTGATAGAGGGTTCCCATCGTCGCACAGGTCGGAGGGATCACGTTATCCACGAAGAAGAAGAGCGCGTCTTCGGGACGCAAATGAATGCGCTTTCGGATCAGGAAATAAAACTGTCCGACAGTCAGGTCCGATGGCACCAAATACTTCTTCTTATCCAAGTCTCCGATGCGCGCCTTCGGGGCCTTCTCGACGATCACCTGCGGGTCAGTCACACACACAGACATCACTCAATCGGATCCATACCATACACACAGACAGACAATGACTCAATGCTATACTCACGGGCACTCTGTCCGGATACTTCTTGCGGATCTTCTCGCCCTCAGCCCTCCTCTTCTCAAACGGATGTTCCTCTTTGTACGCAAACTTCATGTCCGATCACTTCAACGGATCCAATGGCCCAACAAATGCCTTATTATATGTGATACAAATGCGAGTCTTAACCAACGATTGCCAACACAGTGTCTGCAGTGATATTGGCTGAACAGGTGGTGGTAGTGTTGGTAGTGTTGGTGATGTAGTGGTGATAATGAGTGTCTTTGTGGACAGAAACGCAATAAAAACAGTTTTGTAACGCAATTCGTATGCAATGTCTGTAACACTGAATGACTGAATGACTGACAAAATGCCTGCACTTCTGCTCATTCGCTGCAATCTCTCTATTATTTCAATACGTTTTACGCTTTCTATGCATTAGTCATACAGTGAGAGAGAGTTGCAGTGAATGTGAGGTCACGTGACGTACGGTTTGTTGTCAAACATTGTCTGTGAGAGCGCTTCACTTGAATGTCACGCAAAGACATTGAGACCTATTGTCTGAGCCACCAATCAGTGCACTCGCATTCAGCCCTCACTGCCAACACTCACTGCAAACACATGTCTTCATCGCATTCAACACAATTGTCGTCATAATTAGTGGTCAAAAGAGACAATCATATGATAGCACACCTCATGAGAGACCTCTTGCAGACTCTTTTGCTAAACGAGTGACTCATACGTAACATATGATCACTGATTGCATACTTCATCTCAACTATCACTCACTTGATCACCGCTAAGATGTCCACATCTATAAGCCTGGGAACAGACCTCAAAGACTACGTTAGCTCAAGAAATGGCGACAAGTCTTCGTTGACCACAAATGTCAAGAACCTGTTCAACACAAACAAGGCTAAGGAGTGGTTCTATCAGCCGCTCAGCACTGAAGACATTGCCGCCGATGGGCACCAACTGGACTCCGGCAGTGATAACAGAACCCCTTCTTCTTCTAAGAGTTGGTTCTCTTCATTCTCGTTGTCATCCAATACTCAAAACGAGTCCAACGACTGCTTACCATCTCTTGTAATGATTGCAATGAAATATCTCTGAATACAGTATTGTCTTAAACTAACGAATTGATTGTCTCTTTAGACGCGAACTCAACGTATCATTGGTTTCATAGTGTTTGTAATAATGGGTTTGTTGTGCTTTACTTTGGTATGTGTTTCACGCAATTCTCTGTCTGTCTGTCTGTCTGTCTGTCATTCACTTTAAGCACACATTTCACTCTTTTTTCACATTTCAGTCGAGTTTTTATATTCCGGTTCTTGTATTCAAAGCCCGAAAGTTCGCCCTTTTGTTCACATTTGGCTCTCTGTTCATAGTTTCCAGGTTTGTTGAGCTTTATACTTTTGGCACACATTTCACAACTGTTTGTCTCATTGAATGTCCAGTTTCTCAGTCTTGTGGGGACCCGTCAGTCACATGAAGCACCTCTTCTCACAACAGAGGCTTCCCTTTACTCTCACATACTTTGGCTCATTATTCACGACTCTATACTTCGCACTAAAGGTCTGTCCATTTGCCACAACCATTCACTTCATGACTGACCCGATTTTGTGTGAACTACAGGTGCAAAGCACTCCACTGACCGCTATATTCGCGTTCATTCAAGTGATAGCATTGCTCTGGTATGTCATCAGTTACCTGCCCGGCGGACAAACAGGTCTCATGTTCTTCACCAAAATGGCGGCAAAGAGTTTACCCGTTTAGACACCACTGGACCCATGATTACCACCGTTTAGACACCACTCGACCCATGATTACCACCGTTTAGACACCACTCGACCCATGATTACCACAGAATAACTCAATTGTTAACTAATTTATTGCAAACTCTAATATATTTTGTGTACATTTAATGTCATATAAACCCTATTTGTCACCACTTTTGTCGCTATATTTGGCAAAAATACGTTTTCCTCGTAATATCTTCTGGCGAACCATCTCTTCCTTGAAGTCCAGGTGTTCGTCACTATTGGGAACAAATGACAACTCAATGAAGCAATCAATACAAACAGTGCTGTAGTGGTGTCACCGACCGGAACAGTCCCATCTCCCGGAGCCGATTGATGAGGACATAGACCTGCGGGTGTGGAGGATAGTAGAGAGGGTTGCGCTGACAGTCCAGATCCAGAGGAAGGCTCGACATGCGGTCGATGACGGCTTCGTTGCGGTGATGGAGGGCTGCGAAGGCGTGTCTCGCATACACAGCGCGCGTGCGATGTCTTTGGATGTCTGGAGGCATCGGTGGTCTCCTGTATTGACCGAAAATCTTTTGACTCAATCGCGCCATTCGTTGGCTATATTTGGAACTCATTTGCCAGAGATTCGGTCAACACTTCCAGTCATATGGTGTCCACACTACCGATCATATGGTGTCCACACATTCGCAACGCATTCACAACATCTGTGTCACACCCGCACTGCCCCTGAACTCAGGCGCCAATCACTGAACGCGTGCTTTCACTGCAACTGACAGTTGGGGACAAAACTAGTGTCACGTTTTATGTGAAGATGTGTTGAGTTTAAAAAACACAGCAAAACTCATAAACGTCTGAATGAGTTGTGCAGCGATTGCGACCATAAATGATGTGTTGATTATGGCGTGCAATGCGTGTCGTAATGAATGGAATGAATGCTCGAAAGGAGTGTCTTTTGTCTGTTCAATGCTAGCAATAGAAGTGACAATACGTTCGATACGTTGTCATTGAATGCAAGCAATAATACAATTGTTTTGATATTCATATGAATTGCATTCAATTGAATGACACGTTTAGTCAAAACAACGATTGCTTTGAGCGGTGATTGCAGTGATGTGTGAAAGCATTGAGTGATTGGATCTGATCTCAAGAGTAGTGCCAATCGGTGACAGAAGTGCCTAAATAGCAGACATTGGATGCAATGACCAGTGAATCGATGGCCGCATAGACTGACAGTGAGTTAGTGGTGAAGATGTTAATTGATTCCCAACCGCAACAGTCGTCAACACCGCCCACACCTCAGCTCCAGTTGTCTCACAACCAGTCGATGGTGTCTTCGCCGTCGCCGCAGACGCCGTACGATATGGTGGTGTGGTGAAGATGTTAATTGATTCCCAACCGCAACAGTCGTCAACACCGCCCACACCTCAGCTCCAGTTGTCTCACAACCAGTCGATGGTGTCTTCGCCGTCGCCGCAGACGCCGTACGATATGGTGGAGAGACTGAAGCAAAGGGTCGAGAAGTATAGACTTCACCATCAGATCACTTACCAGAAGAATGAGAATACAGTGGACTCGCAGAACGTGAAGACGAAGGCCGAGACGATCCGTCTTCAGCAGCAGTTCCTCAACAATAACCACAACAACTCTAACAACAAATCCAAACAACAGAAGTCTGTCAACGCGTCGACCAATCAGAGGAACGCCAACAAGAGGTCCAACGCTTCGGCCAATAATTGCGACGCCAAGTGCGAGTCGAGTGACGCCAAGGTCTCCAAAATGGGTCCCAAAGGGGCCAACAGTCGCGCCAACTCTGGTGGACCCAAAGGGTCGCAACAGTTGTCTCCCAGTAATCAGTCTTTGTATCGAAACAATTGCTCCAAATTTAACGCTCAGTCCAACCAAATGGACGTTAAAATAAAGCCATTGATTGCCAACTCTTGTGTCACAACGAATAGCCCGCAGATAATGATTGCCAACAACTCTGCGCCGGAAATAAAGCGCGAGATTGTGGACAACTCGTACTTCGAGAGCGTAACCGTCGATGCCATTCATGACATTCTGTCCAACAATGCGGTCAACGCTCAGAGCAATGGCTGCGCCGCCAATGGGATGGAGATGTTTGGGTCGGATGTGATGAAGGATCTGTTCAACGATACCGGACTCACGGATGACGGCCTCGGCGTGTGCGCCAACTTCGGCGACGAGGACTTCATCACCAAATTCCTCGAAGAGATCAACGACTCGTCGTTTAATGATTTGGGAAACAGTTTCGCGCAACAAATGACTCAACAGAACAGCACACCATTGAAGCCACAGATCACTCAACAGATCACTCAACAGATCTCACAACCAATGGTCAGCCATTCCAACAGTAACTGCATGAACACTAACAGCGATGCCATCAATGGTTCGCTTAATTGTAATATTAATGTAAACCTAATGAACAACAACTCCAACGCAAACATCAATAATAGTAATACCGGTAATAATAACGCTATGATTATCAACAATCAGATGAATTTCAGTGCAAATCAATTGCAAACAAACCCAGACATGAGTGCATACCATCCCATTCAGCCCAGACTACAGCCCACTCTTCAGATGTCTAGCATTCCGAACAGACCTTCACTTCAGATGATGTCTTCAAATAACCCAAACTTCACCACAAATGTGATGAACAGTAATAATGTTCGCAATTATGTCTCCGTTGCCAACACTGGCTCTCAGGCTCTACCGCAACAACAACTACTTCTGCAGCAAATCACACCTCTTGTGTCTCAACAGTCGATTAGTGGCGTTCAGATCCAATCACAGCCACAATCCTCACAACCCATTCACTTGAGATTACCCGTGGGTTCAGTGCCGCGAATGGGAATCGTTTCAGTGGTTCCCAAGTCTGAGAACAATGTATCCGTTCAGCTCTCTATACAAGTGCCACAACAGACCATAACTGCAAACTCCATGTCTTCACAAATACCCCAAACCAGTGCTCAGACATCTCAGGCCGCGGCCAACGCCTCCATTAAACTCAAACAAATGGCACAACAGGTTCAGCAACAGAAGACCCACCAGTGGGTCATCAATCACTCAAACACTTCATTGTCTCCAATGCCTCAACAAATGCCACAACAATCACAGCAACAGATGACTCAATCGCCACAAAGACTCACTCCTCAGATCAGACAACAACTACAACCACAGCAACAACAACACAACAACAACACAGACAAGTGATGCAAAACACAAGTGACACTCAAAACACAAACCAAATTCAGACACAAATGCAAAACCAAACGCAGACTTACTTCACGCCACAAATGAGTCAACAGATCTATTGGCAGCAAAGCCAACAACAACCGCAACAACACATTCAAAGCCAACCACAACAACAACAACAGCAACAGAATATTCAACAGAATCCACAACATTATGACAACAATTATTGGTCACATCCCCAACAAATGACACAAATGGGTGGACAGCCCTCCCAACAGACACCACAAACACAACAACTCTATAATAACTATAATAATAATTACAACTATTTTTGATAAAATGTATTTTTTGCTCATTTATTAACATTTATTCCTATTTAATATAATAAGTGGTAATTATTTATATTGTGCCACATTTGAAACAATTTTATATCTATTATATATTATATTAGCCTTAAATGCGTTACGAATTTGTATTATAGACGACTTGATTGAAATTCAGTTTAAATATCAATTGACATTTTCCATTGGCATTTATATGATAATTAATTGAATTCTTGTTATATACTGTATATTGTTTAAAATAATTCATAAATGACTGAAAAAATAAAATGATTTTTCATTTTAAGTAAAAGTTTTTTTCCATTTAATACCTTAGAGTAATAGTTGGTTTAGTTTTAGTTATAATTAGGTATAAATGCAGAAATAATTTATGACTAAAACTTGTTGCAAGACTTGAATCTAATTTGCATCTCAGATACGCGATAGTCATTGCTTGTGATATTGGCATTCATTCAAATAAACTGAAGGACAAAGTATTGATTATATAGTTGTTGCCATTAACAGTACAGTAAGAGATAGAAAAAAGATTCAATTCAAAAACTTTTATTAAAATAACATAATTTTAAAAGTTATCAAATCTAATTACTGCTAAACTATTGAAAATTCATATACCTGTAAATTAATAATAAATTAGACAAACTGTTCAAAATGAATTGAAAACATGATTAGATTGTAAAATGTATTACAAAAGTATACGAAATTGAGAGTTGACTGATTGACTGATCAGTTTTGTGGACCAGAATGGAGATGTCTTCGTTGCAACTGTTGTTCCGGAGCTGATGATGGTCTCAGTGATGATGGTCTCAGTGATGACCGAAACGTTCGGCAAATAACTTAATTTTATTTTTAAGTCACTTTCACTGATACTATAAATAAATATTGAAAACTTATGGGATTAAAAAGTTTACGATCACTTTATTTGGATTTCTATTCTTATGGTTTTAAAGAAGATGTGGAAATGTGTGGACAGTAGTGTATGAAAAATGCCGACAGAGAGCTGACACTTGTGTTCACTGCACTGACACTCCAACTGTGGATCTGATTCGGCAAAGAATCGATGAAAATGTTATCAAGAATTTGATCCTTAAATGCAAACTCTTACCTGAAGTTTAGTCTTTATTTTATTAACTGTTTAAAGTTTAATGAAGTTTTAAAATAAAATGTTTAAAATGTGTTATGATTACAGAATTTTATTGGAAAATTATATTAATTGAATTAAAAAATAATTTATAAGTTATTATTTCTCAATTCAATGAATATCTGGTCAAAGAAGTAATACTTATGCAGTCAGTAAGCCATCAGTTCAGATGTACTGAAAAATGTGTCGACCCTTCAGTTCGGGTATTCAAACCCATCCAAAGAAACTATTCCTCGGAAGACCATTGCATTCAATCCTAATATCTTTGATTCACCACTCATTGTGACACTTGAGTGGGAAATGGGTTCACAACAGACATTGATTCAAAAGACAGCGAATGTCTCGTTCGTATCCACCGATGAATTTATCGGTAGAAGTGTTTTGTCAGAAATCACAAACTGTCCACAAATTACAGATTTATATTTGAGTCAAACATTCATTGAATCTCATGAACAAAATCTTACGACAATCGCTAACCTCTTCAG